ATATTATATTTTTACTAACATTTAAAGACGAACAGAGCAGTGTTTACAACGTAAGAAAGAAATTAGACAGAGAAGACTAGTGCATATTCAAGAGTCATTCACCAACCTTCATCCACCATAATAAATAAAAGAGGCAAAGGCTTTTAATTATTCCAGTGACCAACCTGTTGTATGGGACAACCAAGACTTCGATTTGATTCTTAAATCCACGCTTAAACGCAGCTAAATAAATTTGCTCAGACGTCTCCTCTCCTAGCAAATGCTCATCTTGGAATTTATTGTAGCAGCTCAACCAACTGTCCCACCTCCCCTCCCTTCCCTCTTTCTCTCTCTCTCCTCTTGTGGTTAAATTATCATCAAAGCTTGTCACATGTCACAGGCTTTTCTTACATAAAGTTCTCTGGGTCTTTGGGTGCAAGCCACAAGAGTTCTTTGGCAATAGTCTTTGGCATTGAGGTAAACAATGTCTGTCACATATGCTGTAGAGGTTGAAGAATCAAGGCCTGCAACCGAGAAAAAGCCGTCTGCAGGGCCGGTTTACAGGTGCATCTATGCTAAAGATGGTCTCCTGGATTTGCCTGAGGGAAAGCATTCTCCATGGGAGTTCTTTAGGTGAGTGTTCTTGATCATCAACATATGGGTGCAAAAAGATCAATGGTTGCTACCATTTTTTTTTTCATTTTTAAAACTGATTTTGCAAAGTTTTTGTTTTAGTTTGATTAGATCAACAAAATCTAGAAGATCTTCCTTGGCATCTTAGATCCTTGACGTGATGAAAGAAATGTAAAGGCTGCACATCTTGGGGAATCAACCACTAAAAGAAAGAACTTAGATATCACTTTCATTTCTTCTTTGGGTGGATCTTTTTGATGGGATTAATCTGCTTTTATTGTTGGGAAAAAGGAACAAAACATATTGGCCCATGCAGGTCTCGAACCTGCGACCTTCGCGTTATTAGCACGACGCTCTAACCAACTGAGCTAATAGGCCAGATGCTTGATATTGTTTCTCTGGTTACACGTGTTCAGAGAAATTAAATTGCAGTATTTTCCTTGCAGTGATTCTGTTGAAAGGAGTCCAAATAGTCGAATGCTGGGTCGACGGCAAACCAAAGATTCTAAGGTACACTGCATTCATCCTCATGTAAAAGATTTATTGCTAGAGAATAAAGTTGAAGATTTAGTATTTATACCATAATTTATGAGGAATTTAATATTTATACTATCCTTAAATGTCGGATTTGAGATAATCATTAATGAGTGTGAATATTCAACTGCAAAATCTATTGACATGATATTATTTTGGCAACATGGATATGTTTTGTCAATTGGCCATGCTGTCGCAAATAATTATTTTGGGTTTTACTTTGTTGATTATAATTATAATAATTTATTATTTAAAAAGAAAACATAATTAGATTAAAAAAATAAAGTGTGTAGGTCCGTGGGAGACGCCAAAGTGCATAAAATTTTCATTTGGTTTTGCAGCAAGCTGGTCCTTACGTATGGATCACATACCAGGAGGCTTATGATGCAGCTGTTAGAATTGGTTCTGCCATGAGGAGCCGTGGTGTGAACCCTGTAAGCCTGCAGTCCATCAGTTAAACATAATTTTAATCCTATTTTAACTTCATTTAGATCTCCTGAAGTTTTAACAAAATATTCATGGTCATGTACAGGGAGACCGCTGTGGTATATATGGGTCAAATTGTCCAGAATGGATCATTGCTATGGAGGTATGCTTAGTGTTTATTCTGCCAATTTAACTTACTTTTTGATCAAGGCAATAAGTACTTGTTTTCCCTTTTTCTACAGGCTTGTAACAGTCAAGCTGTCACATATGTCCCACTATATGATACTCTTGGTACGACATCTTTCTCTTAATCCATTTTGAGGTCTGATGATTAGTAATAAGCTGGAAGCATTGCCGTTATCTGTCATTCGTTGATTCATTTGAGATGGTGATCTATCTGGTTTTTTTACTTTGTTGCAGGTGCTAATGCAGTGGAGTTCATCATTAACCATGCTGAAGTTTCAATAGCCTTTGTTCAAGAGAACAAGCTCCCTGCAGTAAGTTTTCATTGCAAGTGAAGCTATGTGGTTTTCTTTTAGCAGGGTTTCATATTAGTTTTGTTCACAATTTGTGATCCTGTGCAGATTCTATCATGCCTCCCAGCATGTTCTTCCTACCTAAAAAGTAAGTGTAAATATTCCACTCTGTGTTTTGAATGTTTAAGGCCATTTGATTCCTATACTACTTATCTTCTTTCTCCAGCTATTGTCAGCTTTTCATATGTTTCTAGCACACAGAAGAAGGAAGCTGAAGAACTTGGGGTATCTCTCTTTTCTTGGGAGGAGTTCTCTGGGCTGGTAAGATGAAGATATAGTTGTGCCCTCGTGTCATGATCAGAACAATGTTTCTCCAGGATCAATTCAATCAGATTGTTACAAAAATTTCACCTGCTGTCTAATGATTCCCCAGGGCTCTTTGGATTGTGAACTTCCTCCAAAACAGAAGACTGACATATGCACAATAATGTATACTAGTGGAACAACAGGAGAACCAAAAGGAGTCATTCTCACAAACAGGGCAATCATGACAGAAGTGTTGTCCATAGATCAACTCATAGACATTACAGACAGAGCGGTGAGAATGCAAACATAAACATAAATCTTGTTAGGGATAAAGATGCATGGTAAAAAGGGAAAATTGAATGAAATGGCTTTCTGATATTCTTCTTTCTTTTTCCCACATTGAGCTTGCAAGAATTTCCATTTTGGTGATATGATTTTCCGTTACAGTGTTCCGAGGAAGATACATATTTTTCCTTCCTTCCTCTGGCGCATGTATATGATCAGATAATGGAGACCTATTTCATCAAAAGGGGTTCCTCCATAGGATTTTGGAGAGGGGTAAGATTAAGATTGCCATAATCTGTACAATTTTCCATTGTCCTTTTCTCTCTTTAGTACAAAGGCATCCAATCCAGTTCTCCTTCTTTACTTGCAGGATGTCCGTTATTTAATGGAAGATGTTCAGGAACTAAAGCCAACTGCCTTTTGTGGGGTTCCAAGAGTTTATGACCGTATATACACTGGTACATATAGATAACTATCTTTCTGAGCAATTATGTAGCTTGATATTGTACTAATACCAGTTGTTCTAAGCAATATCCATGGAAACTTGTGCTTGAAGGTATTGTTAACAAAATTTCATCTGGCGGTGCAATTCGGAATAAGTTGTTCCAGTATGCCTATAACTAGTAAGTTTTATGGTAAACCCCTTTGTTGGATTTTACTTGATTGAAAGTCTGCTGTCCAACTAATGGAAAAGCTTCAAACAGCAAATTAGGAAATATGGAGATTGGATTCCCGCAAGACAAAGCATCCCCTCTCTTGGACAAACTGGTCTTTGACAAGGTTTCTCATCCAGACATCTTTTCTCCATTCTAATTAAGGTTCCTGCTTTACTTGCTGAAAATGAGTTAATTCTTGTAGGTAAGACAAGCATTGGGAGGCAAAGTTCGTTTAATGTTATCTGGTGCAGCACCTTTGCCTAGGCATGTGGAGGAATTTCTGCGGGTCTCCTGTTGCTCTAATTTATCACAGGGATATGGTAAGAAGTGATTGTTACCCTATGAACATTCCTCTCTGCTATCTTCTGATTTCTTAACATGACAGGTTTGACTGAGAGCTGCGGTGGATGTTTTACTTCCCTCGCCAATGTAATGTCTATGATCGGAACTGTTGGAGTTCCCATGACAACCATTGAAGCAAGGCTTGAGTCAGTGCCAGAGATGGGATATGATGCATTGTCCAGTGTGCCACGAGGAGAAATATGCCTGAGGGGAAACACCTTGTTCTCAGGTTACTACAAGAGACGAGATCTAACTGATGAAGTTCTTGTCGATGGGTGGTTTCACACAGGTATAAGACCTTCAAATTTGCATCAGGGTAACAATATGCAGAAACTCAACTGTTTGATTCCTCAACATGTTGATATTGTTACAGGTGACATTGGAGAGCTGCAACCAGATGGATCGATGAAAATCATTGACAGGAAAAAGAATATATTCAAGCTTTCGCAAGGCGAATACGTTGCTGTGGAGAACGTTGAAAATACATACTCACGTTGCCCTCATATAACGTCGGTATGCTGCTGTCTCTTGATCTTGTGATTGGCTTGGCTGATATACTGCAGCAACTGGAATTGCTGCAAACTAGAACGTCTCATTTCTACCGTAACATATAAGCATCAAACATTTTCAACATTGCTCTAAACGTGAGTTTCTTAATCATTCCAATGGTCAGATCTGGGTTTATGGGAACAGCTTTGAGTCATTTCTTGTGGCTGTGGTAGTCCCTGAAAGAAAGGCACTAGAGGATTGGGCGATGGAACATGATGAAGCTGTTGATTTCAAATCATTGTGTGAAAACCGTAAGGCAAGGAAGTATATTCTAGACGAGCTAAATAGCACTGGTCAGAGACATCAAGTATGTGGATAAAATTTCCTCGCAGTTTCTTCTTCCTAGCTCTGCAAATTAAAACAATATCTACTCATGTTTTCCTCGACTGATGCAACATTTGTGCTTGCACAGCTTAGAGGCTTTGAGATGTTAAAAGCAGTGTACTTTGAACCAACTCCCTTTGACATGGAGAGGGATCTCATAACCCCAACGTTTAAGCTGAAGAGGCCACAGCTGCTCAAATACTACAAGGTAAAACTACGATTATCCATCTTTTCTATTGCTTTTAACCCCATGAAATCTGGTCCACAAACAAATAATTCCTTGGGACCTTATATTTTTGGCAAAGACTTGATTTGTATCATATGCCAACATCATCTGCAGGACCGCATCGATCAACTGTACAGTGAAGCAAAGGGGTCAAAGGCATGAGAGCAGTTCCGAGAAGCAAGAACCTAATATTCAGCTATGTCGATTGCCAGCAGTTGCTGCAACTTGTTTCTGTTTGTTTGAAAATCTTAATGAAGGAAAACTTATAGTACTTAAAACTGAAGTTGAAAACTGATCTCTGTTAGTGTTGGTACATAAATAAAAGATTATCATAAGCTTTCTGTTTATTACTTGCCACTGTCTATTCAGAAGGTACAATTTCGTTGATGAATTTGGGATGTGCAAGCTTCTTTCATTCTGCTACACATTTCTGCAGTGCAAACTAAATGAATGAACTCAGCAAACTTGGTATCCATGTCTTTCAAGTATCATTATCACTAGCACCCGAATATTTGACTCATTAGTTAGTATATTATTCCTCTACTTAAAAAACAAGATTTGAATCCCCTCTCCCCTAATTATAAAAGAAAAAAAAGTATCATTATCACCAGCATTTCAGGGTTTATTAAGTCCTGAGTATCAAACCCTCTTACATCAACATGTTTGTTAAAGCTTAAATTCTAGGAACAAAGGGAAAATGGATGAACATTTCTGTCTTAACATTTAGTTTTTCTAGAGGAATACAAACAGTGTTTCAAGGTTCCTCAAGCCAGTCAAAGAAATATTCTTTCTACAACAATAATAAAGTAATACTATGACAAATCCTTTAAACAAGGAATTCTTACGAATACACCAAAGCAAACAGGAAAACCATGTCTTATGGCACAAAAATGACAAATGAATTTGTATGTCTAGACAAATAATGGATGGTACAGGGGGAAACAATTCACGAACTTCAGAAAACTAAAAGCAACCGACAGGCTGCTGATCTTCGAACCTATAGGATGTCAGTTACCAAAGCCCAAGCGGGGTAGACCAACAGAAGAATTATGCCAACCGTGTTTGATATTCCATGTGCTTTGGTGAAAGAATTTCGAAACCCACCAGATGCTCTGATGTGTTCCTGAAGCAGGTAGCAAGCAATGGCAAGGCATATTACCAGACCAATCCAGTCGTTTCTTATGGTGCTTGAAAATAAGCTAGGAGCCACCACTATTAGAAGAATCAAAGCAGCAGGTAGTTCCAGCCAATCTGCAGTTTCCAGTAATAAGTAACAACCGGGTACCACAAATTTCGAATACCATCATAGTTGTCTAACATAACTACTTAGATATTCAATCAAATTGAAGATAGAAAAGCAAACAGTTCGGTTAGTAAACCCCAAAGTCACCAACCGTTTTATTGCATAATAGTTCAAATATGACAAGGCAAAACAAAGATCCTAGTGAATTACCAGATGATAGCAATCCAGCATGACCAAAGTAACAGAGGGATTACATCAATATTATACCTGGGAAACGTCTAGGGAAGAACAAGCGCAAAACAACTGCAACAAAAGCAATCCATTTTCCAACCTCACCCCTGCATGACAAAACAATTTATTAAAATGGAAATGAAAAAAGAACACTTGAGCTAAGAACCGGTGCTGCCCGCGGCATGGATTTACCTGAAGAGGTTGAACAATAATGAAGGAAGACTGAAGAAGATATATGGGATTAATAATCCTGTAAGAATATTTGTTTTCCAATTTGTTCGGTCCAGGATCAATAAATAACTGCATCAATCATAAGATAGGAACAAAGTAAACCATTAGAATTCTTGAACTACTAACTTTCAAAAAGAAAAAAGAATTCCTGAACTACTGAAATAAGCATAGGTATCAATCTTTTTTAGTCTAAAAAAGGGAAATTGGAAATTCGGGAATCGGGAAGAGGGAAGAGGGAAGATGTGCTTCTTAATCAGGCTACCTATACTTGCATGAGGCCTCTCCTCATTAACGAGTAAGGGTAGGATCAGGAAAATTCCCTAGGGTAAAATACCCACAATGAACCAGAGCAACAAGAAACTTTTTAGACAAAAGAAAGAACTCCCCTGATAATGAATCAGAGAAAGCAAAAAGAGAAGTAGCAAAAGCAAAGGCAAAAATAAGATCCTAAAAAGTTTACCTTTCAAAAAAAAAAATCCTAAAAAGTTCATACAGGTAAGCAATATTCCAATATGAGAGCTATAAAGCATTCAAATTCCAATCCAGTTCAAAAAAAAGAATTAGTAAAACTGTCAAATCTGGAGAATTCCCTTCACTCAGAAGAAAATCCACAGTTAATCACATTCGATCTGGTGATTGGTTTGGGATCACCATGAGCCTAACAGCACAGAAAAAGAAAAACAGAAATCCGTAAACGAGGATTTGAGCAAAGAGAGTGGCATACATTGCAGCAAAGGAAGCGATCCATTCAAGGATTGAAGTCCCAAATCCCAAAGAACCCAACTTGATGGCATGATTAGCAAGCTTCTTGGCAGCAAAGACTAGCTCTTTGAAATCAGAACTGATCAGATCACTTGCTTCTTGCTCAGCCCTCATTGCCAAAACACTCTTCTTCCCCATCATTTTTCCTTCTCCTCTCCAGCCTCCTGGTTACTAAAATAGTATATACCCAAACAAAAGAAAATAACAAGAAGAAACAGATAAAGAAAGAAGCGAGGCTCACAATCCTACAGCAACAACCATAAAGGCGTGGGCAAAGCAAAACAGTTGACTGTCTGGTTTTAGACATGGAAAATCCTTGTCGGGTTCTGGCAATTAACTGCCACGTGGAAGAAGATGCCGACCCCTTTTGATTACGTGTCCTCTTCCAGCTGTTTTGGAGGAAAATTAATTTCTTTCTTTCTTTTATGGATTATAATAATACAGAAGTAAACATCCCGTGATTTTGACACGTATTGAAGATATAATCCCCATCCAATCACTGTTTACACGTCAGCTGTGCCCAACGCAACTATCATAATTCTGATTCTTATCCTTATTACGTGGCATAGGTTGATTAGACAGTTTGTCGTCTTTATTATCGAATTAATTAAGGGCTCAAATCTTAGCCTTTGAACAAAGCTCCATTAATTTTAGGCCCCATTTTAATGGGCTTAAGTTCTTTATTATCAAGTTAAACCCTAAAACCCAACACTTGGACTACTCCTTTTTTATGGAAAATGAATCCAAGTTCATTGGTTGGGCTTCGAGACATTAAAGATGAGCATTCGATCGGTCGGTTCTATTATAAAATTTTAAAAATTTAATTAAATGAATATAAAAAATAATTAAAATTGATCAAAATTGAAAAAAAATCGAAATCAACTTATTTCAATTGATTATGTGGATTTATTTTGACGTGAACAGGAAGTATTTTTAAGGTATATTTTAAATTTTTAATAATATTTATATATTTAAAATATATTATTAATAGTTTATTCTTCGAATTATTCGGCTATAAATTTCAGATATCGAAAATTGATTAAAACAGTAGAATAGACTGCTCCTCCTCTTCATCAAAACTGAAAAAGTCAAACAAATTAATTGAATTCAAACAATTTCAATCTAAGCATCTTAAGTTAATGATGATCATTAATATCAAGCTTAAGTTTCTTGATAGATGAGAAGCCATTGATATGGTAATTAGCTTTTGAGCTACCCACGTGTTATGATTATGTTTCTTGTTTTAGTAAGTTAATATTTGGCATGTTTCAATGTTAATGATGACACCTACTAATTCCTACTTTTATTCAAAAGATGGTAATGAACGAATCTTAATAAAATACCCAACTCGATTATACTTGATTAAAATGAGTTTGGATAAACTGATACTAATAAATTATTAATAACAAAATTATTACTCAATGTGGTTTTGGATAAGATTTGATTTTGAAAGATAACATATTGGACGTTTGAAATGATTTATCCTAATTGACCTTTTAGTTGGAGCACACGTTTAAAACTTGTTTACTTTTGAAAAAAAAAAAGTATTATGAGTACAAGAATTCAAACCTTAGTATTTTTTTTTCACTCTTTCCACACCTTAACCAACAAGTTCAAATAATAAATGATTTATTTAAAAATTAAAATTATGAAAAATAAAAACTAAAGTAAAGCAATAAACCCTAGTTATATATCTTAATTATTCAATTTAAGATAATTAACCTATATCATTAAACGATTTCAATTAAGTTTATGAATAGTTTTGATAGAATTTTGAACATTTGGGTTAGATTTTGAATACCTTACTATTAAACTATTTAACTTCCAAAAATTCAAACTACCCATATACCTAACTCATCATCATCGTTATCTATTCACTTTATAAAAAAAACCGAAAAAGTAATTTTCATGATTAATTACATGTTATAAATTGACACATGATTATAAACTATGTGAACTGATTAATGAATTAATCAAATTAAGTTGTCCTAATTCAAACCAAAAAAAAAAAAAGAAAAGATAAAAGAAACCATAGACATAAATGTCTCTTCAATAATTGGGGGTGTCACTTAAAAAAATAAAAATCCTTCTTTGAAAGATTCCAATTTATCATCAAATCTCTTCCCTTTGCTGGTCCCCTTGAGAATGATTCACAGGCCTTATCAGCATCAGCCATAAAGATACATATGGACCCAGAAAAGAACTGCACAACAAAGCTGTAATGTGTTCATATATCAGTTTACATTAAAATAATATCTTGTTCAAAAGTCTTCTGCAAGTATTCCATCCCTTGCTTGCAATGAATAATTTTTGCTAATATTAAGATCAAATTTTTAATTTAAATAATTTAAAACATTACAACTATAAAATACCAAACACGACCTAAAGACCGAGTTCATGTCTCGCGCTCTTACAAGTTAGGGTTCTTGCTACCAAGCTAGCTTAGTAAGAGAGATAATCCTTCATCTAAAACTTATGAAGAAAATTTTGTTTTTTTTCCCACACATGAAATAGCAAGATTACTAAACAGTAAAATATTTGTCGGTAAAATTCATCATTGTTTTTTATTTTTTATAATTGAAAAAAAAAGAATTCAAATTTTATTATTTAAGTAGAAAGATAATGTATTAATTAATAAATTAAATATTAACATTATTTCTTTCCTAGCAAATATAGTTAGAAAAAAGAAGAAACACATGCTGACAAGAAACTAAAAGCGGTGGTGCCATTCGCAAATGACAAACAAAAGCCTGAATTATTGTAGTTTGATTGGCCCTTCTGTAAATTTCCCTCTTCCTAGAGATTAACGCCACCAATTGGATAGGGACCCTCTTTCAAGACCTGGAAAATGTGTTAGTCGTTTATTTATTCTGTCAAATTCCT